TTTCTTATCGGCTTGCCTTTTAAAATTTAATGCAACCTAGGTTTTTTCTTTTTATTCCTGTCATCCATCACTACACAAGACAGCCTTGTTTATTCCAATTTAATATGTTCGGTTTTGTATTCTATCCTCTTTGGATATAGGGCTATATTTCTCCTTGTCACTCCGCATGACAACAGAAATTCTACTACCTAGCGTTACTTTCTTTTAGCAGCCTTTGTTTATCTTGTTATGCTTGTTTTATCTTGCTAATTCATCTATGCCCCTTTTTCTTTAACGAATTTGGAACAGGTCCGTTTCCTCACCAAAATTTATCATCCTAACATTGACAAGGTAAGAAGTCCTACTATTATTCTCTTTTATCTTTTTTTTTTCTTTTGTAGAAAATGCAATTCTAAGAATTTGATTTGCAGCTTGGAAGAATATGCCTTGACATTCTGAAGGACAAGTGGACTCCGGCCCTCCAAATTCGAACAGTACTACTCAGGTGATGTGACTGTTTAATTCATCATTATAACTATGCTGCCACCAGAATATTATCGTTCTCAAATAACAGATACCATGATACGATAGAATTTATTTTCCTTGTTGAACTTCTTTTTGGTTTACTGTGTTTGCTTATGGCAATCGAACAACCATTGGTGAATATTGTAAACCGATGGATGTCCTAATTCCTTTACCTTCTCCCGACTTTTCAACCTAGGCTTTTGTTTCCGAATAAATTGAAAGAAAAAGCTATGATAACCACATACATCCGTCCTTTTTCCACTTGAAAATACTGTTGTTGCAAATCTACTTGATAAGACTTGTGTTAAGATCCTTCCCCTCCTTATCTTGGAAAACGATAATAATTCTCAAACTTTGTTTATCTAATCTTTCTTGACTATTTTTCCCTCCTCAGTATTCAAGCACTTCTTAGTGCTCCAAACCCAGATGATCCTCTTTCAGAAAATATTGCTAAGCATTGGAAGGCAAATGAAGCAGAAGCTCTAGAAACAGGTAAAATTATGTTCAGGTCGTAAATTATGTGCCTTGACTAATTAATTATTCAAGCCCGTACTTTTAATTGTTCTCAATACAAATAACAAAATTAAGGTTATGTCTCTATCAAGCTTCTCACCATAATTCCGTTTGTGATGTTGGTCAATGCAGCAAAAGAATGGACGCATGTTTATGCTAGCGGTGCATAAAAATCATTGCAGACAGCCGTAATAACATGTTCACAGGGAGGTTATTCATCCATTACTAACTATTAACAGTAAAAACACTGCTGACATACTGCAGGATGTGTATACATATATATGTTTGTATTAACAGTAAAATCAAGAAAGGTTTATTATGGCAATAACATGTAACTTCTCTAGTCATTATCTGTAATTTATGTTGTCACATGTTGCAATCTCTTGCCGCATCCTAATGGCATCCTGGTAGGCAGGAGCATTGACATAATTAATATTCAAAGTAATAAGAATGTAGTTGGGCAATGAAGCCCTTTTTTGTTCTCCAAAAACACTTCTAAAATTTAGGATGCGGCAAGAGATCTCTTCTCATCTTTTATGTTCTCCAAAAACACTTCTAAAATTTTTAATTATATATATATATATATATATATATATATATATATATATATATATATATATTAGATCCTTCAATTTTTTTTAAAAAAAATGAATGAGTATTATAATTGAACATCCACGTTTAAGGTGTCTTAAATAAATTTCATCGAAAGACACTTAGATTGCAGAATCCTCAATTAAATGAGTTATATATTCTAGTTTAAATTTTAGTATAACATGTCAACTTAAATCAAAACATCTCAATCGTTCATCACTCTACTAGGATGTCATTCTAACATCATTAGTAATATTTTGTTATTTTTAAAAGATTTAACGATAATTAATTATTGAAACTTAGATTTTTTTTATTAGGTTTATAAACGGGTATATTTGAGTTTATTTTGGAGCATACCTTATGTTAAGATCGTAAAGATATTGGGAGGGTGAATTAGTATTTTCAAAAAATCTAAGTTTCGATCGATGAAACCTATATAGGAAATGTGATTAACAAAAAGTGGAAATGTGATTAACAAAAAGTACGAGTAAGGATTGCTTAGTAAGTTCGATCATTTTGACCTACGTCCACTCTAGATTTATCTTCATTCGAGACCATCGACTTTTACTATTGATCTTCTTTCAATGGACGAAGATTAACTACCCTTGTTACAACTCTTTCTTCTTTTTACAAGTTTACGAGAGAACCCTTACACCCCTCTTTTACAAAAGACCTCTCACCTCAGAAAAACTTCTAGACTCGAGGAGGAAGAGACTCAACATTTTTCAAAGGTTTACAATACTTTAAAATCATACGTTTTTCATAGTTTTGCAAGCAAGCATGATAAAAGTATTTATAGGCCCCAAATGGTTTTAGAAATGGAGTCAAAAATTTAAATCCTTAGGTTTTCAAGGTACTAGTAGTAACACCACCTAGCTCAATCTCAGGTTATTTAATTGGTCTTCCAATATGCCTAATTCAATCTTGATTTAAGCCTAATGGCTTCTGATTAAGTTGACATAGTTACACCAAAAAATAACTCAATTAAACTCTAAACTACTTCGATCAAAACATAACAGCTATAAATCATGAAGCCTACGTTGTCCGATATATCATTAGTTCATATGATATTTTGTTTGAACTTTCGGTCGTCGTCTTTTTCTTCGGCATATTGTTTGATCCATCGACATGTTAACCTTCTGCAACATTTAATCTTGGCGCAATATCTGATCCTTCCAACCTGATGCCCGATCTTTGACATAATCCACTCTGACCCAACGTTTGATTCACCTGCTTCAATCGATATGTCTTTCCATAATCGAAGTTTATCCTACGTCTCTTTTATTAAATACTAATTAGTTCACAAACTTATTAATTGATTTCATCATCAAAATCCGAGATTCAACACCCTAGTCAATTTCAACTAAACCATCTCAAACTTTTACTCATATAATAGGATATCATTCTAAGAGGTCAATTTCGATCAAATCATCTCAAAGTTTCACATTTCTACTAAAAGATGATTCTAACATCATTAGTAATACATTTTTTTTAAAATAAAAATTATGATAATTAATTGTTAAATTTTAAATTTTTTTATAGGGTCTATAAACAAGTCTATTTTTATTTATTTTCGAGTGTAATAAAATCAACTTCAATAAGACTATCTCAAACTTTCACTAATTTACTAGGATATCATGCTAATATCATTAATAATACTTTCTATTTTTAAGGGGTTTTAAGATAATTAATTATTAAATTTTAGATTTTTTGGATATAATATGTGAATGTGCATTTTAATTTATTTTCAAGTATAATATGGTCAACTTCGATTAAACCTTCTCAAACTTCTAGAATTATACTAGAATCTGATATTTCAGTTTAATCCCAAGTATAACATAGATTTTTCTATATAAATTATGAAGATGAGGTGAGTGATGAAGCGTAACGAGAGAAGGAGGAGAAGGCGAAGGTGGACAAAGAGCGGGAGGAAAAGGAGAAGGAGACGGAGGAGGGGATTTAAGAATTTGACATGAACCGATTCACAAATTTTATATTGGTATAATTGATATTTATAAAAAAAAATCCTCGGATAAAAATGAATATGTGGGATTTTATTTTGTAAATTGTCTAAAAAACTTTGTAAGATCTTTAATGGCAGATCTTTTTTTTTCTTTTCTATTTTTATGTTTTAAAGCAATACTTTTTTTTTTGGCTCATAAATATTTCAAGAACATTTACTATTTTTAAGTATCAGAAAATACATCATGTTTCATATTTTCAATTGCTATGTGTTTGGATGGGGTCTCGAAGATGCTCCTTCTTCTGATCCCCAAACCAATCGGGTCATTGTTAACCCCACAGCTCCGCCGGCTTTTTCGTCTAATCGTATCCATTAAGATTTGGGCAGTCATCGTTGTAAATTTTATAGGTATGATCCAAGTCAGATTGTGTTGCCGTTATCTCGCCAGTTATGCGTTGTTTTGTCAACGCAAACGCCAAGGAGGACAAAGTGTTGCTCTTCCCAAGCTTCAATCCTCCACCTTTTTTTGGTTCGCATCATTATAGTTGGTGAGCTGCTGCTAATGTCGGGTGGGGTAGGTAGTTCTACGACTGTGTTCCCAGAGTGAAGAGAAGGACCATCGTACGCTGCTACCACATGCAGCGGTGGCCTGGAATCCAACCCTCCAGCTTCGTATGCTTCACTGTTCATCCTCACTCGTTTGATCGAAGAGCATAGGGTTATTCGTCACATCCTTTGACGGAATTCACACGGCATGGGTTCCGTAGCCCACAATTAACACAGGTTTAGTCGGATATCAGTCGAGAATGGAAGCCCTACAAGCACATGCCTCCACGTTCACCGTCTCCAGCTGCATGATGAGCTGCAACCATGGCAGAGGGAGTGCAGTGTCCTCGTCATGAACAAGAAGTCCCCGTGGGGACACTACTCGATTTGGCCCTCCGGCCAGCACTGACTCCCTTCGTTTAAGCAGGTGATCTAAACTTGGCAGTAAGTGGAAAAGTAGAGGAAGCCACAATCGTCGCACCTCTCAAGTCTCTCTAATCACACAGCAATGAGTACAGATTAAGGTTTATGTCTATCACGGAGAGGAGAGCGCAACCTCTCGCGAGCAGAGCTTCTTGGAGACCTCTTTTCTCGACGTAAGATGCTTCCTTCCCTTGTACTCTGTTTGTACGTACGTCCTTTACGGTCTGCTGTGATTTATTATTGCTCACGGAGATCTCCCCTGCTCTCATGCTTTTAGTTGGGGCGTAGGAAGGGAGCGGTCTACTCGAGCCGGCCGGCTGGCCGAATCGAGACGATTGCCGGAGGGTTTGGGTCAACACGTACTCTCACCTTGCAAAAGCCGATGCGCGCGTGAGAGAGAGAGAGCGTCGGACTCCCAACTTTCCAATAAAGGAGAAGGAACAGCGGCACGAGGAGATCCTCTGCAGATCGATCGCTTTCTCTCTCTCTCTCCCTCTCTCTTCAAGGACACTTTTGAGACAGCCTCGACCGCAAGGCACGGCTCAGTCCGCGAGCCACCATTACGCTGTTTGACGTGGAACAGCGAAGGCGGTATTCACCGCAATCACGACCATCGATCGTCCTCATCTCGTCCGCTGCTCGGTGTTCCCAGAAAGTACACAGCAGTGGATCCATTTGCTTGGGGAACCCCAGCTCATTGCCACTGCTGCTCCCTCTCTGAATCTCTCCTTTTAATGCCTTGTTTCTCCTCTCCTCTCCCCCACAAAACCCCAGCCTGGACAGATAACATCATAGGAGGTGAACTGGCTCAAGGGTTTGAGGAATCAGTGCTGAGAAGCTCATTCGATAGGTGAGTTGACTTGTTGGTTTCTTTTTCCCTTTGTTTTCATCGATCTTTTCTCTGAATAGAACATGTTTTTGTAGTGTCTTTCTATAATTTCAGCATAAAAATATGAACTTCTTTTCAATTTTTCTGAGATGAAGAGTGACACAGTTCTGCATTTTGAACACAGTACCGTCGTAGATGCCTAGAAAGGATGACCTTTAGAACTTTGTCTAGCATCTAGACGAAGTAGATAAAGTTGTCTAGTTTTATTTTCATTTATTCCTTCACATCTCCAATGTCTTCATCATTAATCTTCTCTCATCTGGGTGGGCATATTCCCCTGTTATTCCAATAATTTCTTGCAGTAGGCAACCTTCTCTGAGAAGACCCAAAGCAATAGGCCACGAGGTATGCGTTGATGGTTCATCATTCTTCTTTTGAGATGCTCAAAGCTGTCTCCCAGTCTCTTATGTGATCAATGGAGAAGCCATTCAGTTGTTCCCAACCCATTTCATTAGTTAGAAATGGAATATGGGATGTGATCAAGTTAGATCTATTACAGAGTACAAACAGTTCCTGCTACATTGTCATTTTGGTGGGTAGCTTTCATGGCTGATGATCACCAGCTCCGGAAGCTGTCTAAATCTCTTTGGCAATTGCATAACCAATACTCACCTTGCCAATTCTTGTTGTTGTTGCTCCAAAACCAAATCTTGTCGTTCTTGGCAGCTGGGAGTCGAGTCGACATTGTTGAAAGGAAGAAGTGGGAGTCCTTTCATCTTTGAGCTTCAGACCGATGTCGTGGTCAAGGTAATCTTTGTCTCAGTAGGTTTTTTTGGTTTGAACTACTGATCCCTCAAATGTCTTGGGGCTTTTGTTTCACCAGAGGATCAGATTTGCATCAGCAGCAGTCCCCGCGAGCCCCTCTTCACCTTAAGACTAGTGTTATCTCTGAAGCCAACAGCCTTCACCGGATGGTTGTCGACCGCAGCCCGAAGCTCGAGGATGGACGGTCCCCTCGAAGTCCCCTCCATGAGGTATCTTCTGTAATTGTCACTCCCAATTCTGCGGCATTTTCTTCTTTCTGACAATAATTTCTCCAGCAGAAGAAGCGAAGCACCAGGGTGGCAGATTTGGAGACCAAGTTGAGCAAAGCTCAGGAAGAGCTCAAGAAGCTCAGAGACCAGTTGGGCTCTGCTGAAGTTGCCAAGGTTGATGCCGAACAAGCTCTCGAGAAGGCAAAGAAACAGGTTTTTTCTGTGAACCGGAACTCTGAATTAGACAAACAGAAACCTCTTCCTCAGGAGTCGGAACCGGCATCAGAGCCTAAGCCACAACCAGCTCCCAAGTCTGAAGTGGAGGATGTCAGCTCTCCTACCGCTTCTGATGTTTCCACACTAGCAGTGCCAATGGAACCACTTGGTCAGGTTAAACACGAGGAGGAGGCAGAGAAGGAGAAGGACGAACAGAATATGGAGATAATCATGAAGAAGGATGATGATAACAACATTGGGGGAGGAGTGGTGGAGAGAAATGAATTAGTAGATCTTCCTGAGAGCCCAGAAGAGGTCAAGCTCAAGTATATGATACTGGAGAAAGAGAAGGAAGTGGAGTTTCTGCTGGAAGAGAACATGAGTTTTAAGAGAAGAGCAGAGGAAGAAGCCGAGAACCTTGCCGCGGGTGCACGAGCCAAGGAAGAGGAGCTGAAGGCAAAGATAAGCTCAATGGAGGAGGAACTGAAGGAGAGCAGGGCAAGAGCAGCACAACTGATGGAGCAATTGGCGGCAGCCGAGGGAGCAAAAGCGACGCTCGAAGTGGAGATGAAGAGGCTAAGGGTGCAAACTGGGCAGTGGCGCAAGGCAGCAGAGGCAGCAACCGCGCTGGTGGCTGCTGGAGACAGAGCTGCCACGGAGATGGGAGGGAAGAGAGTCGCGGAACGGTGTCGGTCGATGGACGGTCATCACGGCGGATTTGACGGATGGCATTTGCCGCTGGTGGGAGGCGAATCGGAGGAGGATGGGGTGGTCGGAGGGAGGAGGAAATCCGCAGGAATTTGGATGTTTGGAGACCTGTGGAAGAAGAGAATGCAGCAGAGGTGAGCAGAACCAGTATCCGGGGGGGAATAACTGGAGCTCCTTGTTAGTTAGTTGCTCCTTTGGAGTCCTGTTTTGTTTTCTTTGGTTTGGTGGTTCTCCTGTTCTATCTTGCTGCTAATGTTACTGAGCTTAGTAACATACTGTGAAGGTGTTGTTACATCTGAAAACTATATATATATATATATATATATATATATATATATATATATATATATATATATATATATATATATATATATATATATATATATATATATATATA